CCACAGCACCGCCCGCCACGGCACCACCCTCCTCGGCACCACCAGCCTCGGCACCGCCCGCCACGGCACCACCCGCCCCGGCACCACCCGCCCCGGCACCACCCGCCCCGGCACGGCCCGCCGCAGCACCACCCGCCACGGCACCACCCGCCACGGCACCGCCTGCCACGGCACCGCCCACCCCGGCACCGCCCGCCACGGCACCGCCCGCCAAGGCACAGCCCGCCACGGCACCGCCCACCACGGCACCGCCCTCCTCGGCATCACCAGCCTCGGCACCGCCCATCACGGCACCACCCGCCAGGCATTGCCCACCTCGGCATCACCCTCCTTGGCATCACCCGCCCCGGCACCGCCCACCACAGCACCGCCAGCCCCGGCACCACCCGCCACAGCACCGCCCGCCCCGGCACCGCCCGCCTCGGCATCACCCGCCTCGGCATCACCCTCCTCGGCATCACCCTCCTCGGCATCACCCTCCTCGGCATCACCAGCCTCGGCACCGCCCACCACAGTGGTCTTTCAGAGGCAGGCCAGGCCCCTCGTGGCCTGAGAGCCCCTTCCGGGCTGACTCCGGACGGAGCACATCTGAACAGCAACTCAATGAAGCCCAGCAGGCTTGACCAGCAATGCCGAGCACGGGCTGGGAGCTGGCTCAGACGCCCAGGGAGGAAGACAGCCAGCAGGCAGTGCCCGCGGCAGGAGGCAGACCCGAGCAGGAGCAGGAGCAGGACAGTCGTGACGCTGTGCTCCCTGGAGACTGTCTGGAGATATTTGGAGGTGAGAGGTGCAGTTAGAGCAGGTGCCTGGGGGTGCTGTGCTCCACCCCAGACAGGAGGGCATAAGTTCATGACAAGGTCACGTGAACATGCAAGGGGTGTCACAGCATGATTTTCACTGGGGTCACACCCAAGGGTCTCCAATTCTCCACAATTATCCCCAGGATTCACGAAAAGAAAGTCCTTCCAAACATCCTGAGACGTGGCCATGCCCACCCCGCCTCCCGTGGAAACAGGATGCTCAAGATGCTCCCAGGGCTGCGCTGCCCCTCACTCTCAGCGCCAAAGCCACCCCCAAAGGCCCTCAGCACCACGTGCCCCCCTCGGCACCACGTGCCCTCACGCGGCGCCCGAGCCCAGAGGTGCGGCGAGCCCTTCTGCTGCTGTCTTCAGTGATGCCAACGCCCGACCTTGGTGCTGGCTGCCCGGCACCCACCTCCAGGGAGGCTGCGGAGCCAACACCTCTGGCCACCAGACTGGGTGAGCCAGCTGCCTCCCCCACAGGCCTTGCTTGATTTCCACACGACCGTCCGGGCTACTGGTTTTCCTTTCTCTTCTTGTGATGTAAAATCCCCACCCTTAAGTTTTAAATTCATCATTAGAGAGCGAGCCCTTGACCCGGCCGGTGTGGCTCAGTGGACTGAGTGTCCTCCCATGGACTGACAGGTCCCGGTTCAATTCCCAGTCAGGGCACAAGCCCGGGATTGTGGGCTCAATCTCCAGTAGGGGGCGTGCAGGAGGCAGGTGATCGATGTTTCTCTCTCACATCAATGTTTCTACCTCTCTCTCCCCTCCTCTCTCTCTAAAAATAATCAATAAAAACATATTAAAAAAGAGAGCGAGCCCTTGAAGCCCAAGGCCCCACCCCTGTCTCGAATCCACGCAGACCCCAGGCCAAGCGCTCACCCAGGACCCGCTCACCGGAGCACACCTCGTCTGTTCAGTTTCCTGATGACTACTGCTGAAGGTGTCTTACAGTCACAGTCAGAACCACAGGCCGGTGCAGCCACACACTGGGGACCAGCACAAAACACCCCAACACACTCTAAAGTGAAAACAACGCCACCCACAGAATGACTCCGACGAAGCCTAACAGAGTTCAAGTTTTTCCCAGGAGGATGACTTCAATAACTTTTCTAGGTATCAAATATTCAATTCTATCCCTGAATATTTTAGAGCCCCGACTACACCCCAGGCCTGCCTCCTGGGTGCCCGGTGTGTCTGGTGATTCTCTGGAACCGTCTCCCAAACACTTATCCTTGACTGGCTGTTGCCTGCCTGTCCCCCAACACTTCAGGCTCCAGGGGGCAGTGAGCCTGTCCCCCCATCCAGCCCAGCTCCCAGCAGGGTGGGGCCTGTGCCCCTCCCCCATCCAGCCCAGCTCCCAGCAGGGTGGGGCCTGTGCCCCTCCCCCATCCAGCCCAGCTCCCAGCAGGGTGGGGCCTGTGCCCCTCCTCCATCCAGCCCAGCTCCCAGCAGGGTGGGGCCTGTGTGCCCCTCCCCCATCCAGCCCAGCTCCCAGCAGGGTGGGGCCTGTGTGCCCCTCCCCCATCCAGCCCAGCTCCCAGCAGGGTGGGGCCTGTGTGCCCCTCCCCCATCCAGCCCAGCTCCCAGCAGGGTGGGGCCTGTGTGCCCCTCCCCCATCCAGCCCAGCTCCCAGCAGGGTGGGGCCTGTTACATTTCTGGTAAGTAGACAGTGTGCCTCTGTCCTGCTCCTGGGCTCTGGTTGTCACCCCGCGGTTGAGTGTCCAGGCAGAGGCTGGAAGAGTGGACCCAGGACTGTGGGGGGCAGGGGGCAGGTCTCTGCGCCCTGTCTGGAGAAGCGGGGTGGGGGAGACTTTCCGCAGCTGTCCCTTCTCAGTGAGCTCTCCACGGATGAAATTCTTGAGCCTGGACGCAGGCTCAGCAAGGGCCTGTGCGGAACCTGAGAGGTTGCTGGGGTCCCTGCTCTTGGTCAAAAGGGGCAGCACAGAGCATCAGGGCCCCCAGAGGGTACCCCTTCAGGGCAGGCTCCCGGGAGTCCACTGGTCAGAGCAGTGAGCCAGGCAGGGTTGTCTGTCTGACCAGGCGGCCTGCCCTCTGCCCTCAGACAGAGAAGGAGGGGGAGGGGGAGGGAGCTGTGGGGAGTCCCTGGACTTCCTGGGACCTGCATCCTCAGGACCAGGGGAATGAGCCTCAACACACCTTGACCAAGGGAAGGAAGGAAGAGCTGAATCCCCAAATGAAAAGTAGATATTCACTGTCGGGCTGAACAGTGGAACAAGACAAATGGTAGCTGTGCCCTGGACTTGCCAGTTTCGCTCAGAAGTGGTGTGCCCAGTGCCCCCGCAGCCAGGCAGAGCCCAGTGCCACAGATGGGGGGAGAGAGGGACAGAGAGACACACAGACAGACCCTCGCCTCTCAGAACTGGGAAGAATGGGCTTTCAAGTCAGCCGTGCACTAGGATTTCAGCCCTTTATTTACAGCCTGATGGGGAGGGACGAACAGACCAGACAGGAGGAGGAGGGAGGGAGGCCAGCTGCCTGCCCGGGACCGGACACAGCTCCCTGAGCTTCCTTCCACCAGAACGACGGCGAGGAGGGGGGGGGTCTGTGGAAAGTAAGCTCACAGGGTGACCTGGTCATAAACTCCGCACAGGGCAGGTTGTCACGCCTTCAGTTCACTGAGAGGGTTCAGTTTGCTCAGGCAGGGCTGTCACTGTGTCTGCGTCGCGGGAACACACCTCGCGCACACTGCCTGCCCGGGACAGCACAGGACCCGCCGCTGCCCTGTGAGCCCAGCCTGCCTGCCCTCTCCCAGCCCGCCTCCCTCCTCCTGTGCCCTCCTCAGTCCCACAGGCACAGAGCGCGCCGAGCTGCCCTGCGACCACTGGACACCTTGCTCCTGCATGTGCCCTCGGCCTCAGCAAACTGCTAACATCCTCTGCAGCCTGGACGTGGCCTCGGCACAGGCACAGGGAGACCCCGGGAACTGCTTCGGGCCCCCCGTTCCAGCAGGAGCTCCAGGGCTCCCCTACTGAACGAGGAGGAGGTCTGCACAGGAGAAGGGGCACCGGTCATGGATGGGGGGCCTCAGGGATGGCACCTGCACAGGAGAAGGGGCATGGGTCATGGATGGGGGGCCTCAGGGGTGGCACCTGCACAGGAGAAGGGGCACGGGTCATGGATGGGGGGCCTCAGGGGTGGCACCTGCACAGGAGAAGGGGCACGGGTCATGGATGGAGGGCCTCAGGGGTGGCACCTGCACAGGAGAAGGGGCACGGGTCATGGATGGGGGGCCTCAGGGGTGGCACCTGCACAGGAGAAGGGGCACGGGTCATGGATGGAGGGCCTCAGGGGTGGCACCTGCACAGGAGAAGGGGCACGGGTCATGGATGGAGGGCCTCAGGGGTGGCACCTGCACAGGAGAAGGGGCATGGGTCATGGATGGAGGGCCTCAGGGGTGGCACCTGCACAGGAGAAGGGGCATGGGTCATGGATGGAGGGCCTCAGGGGTGGCACCTGCACAGGAGAAGGGGCACGGGTCATGGATGGGGGGCCTCAGGGGTGGCACCTGCACAGGAGAAGGGGCATGGGTCATGGATGGAGGGCCTCAGGGGTGGCACCTGCACAGGAGAAGGGGCACGGGTCATGGATGGGGGGTCTCAGGGGTGGCACCTGCACAGGAGAAGGGGCATGGGTCATGGATGGGGGGCCTCAGGGGTGGCACCTGCACAGAAGGGGCATGGGTCATGGATGGGGGGCCTCAGGCACCTATGTCCCCCAATGTGTGACAACCCCAAGACCTCTCACTTGCTCCCCTAGGATGACTTCCCTGGTGAACACCCTCAGTCTGTCACAAACCAGGGTCCCTCTGAGCCCCCTGTCCATCTCCCGCGGGTGCTCCAGAGGACAGGACGGTGACATGCTGGTTTCTGGGCCCAACCACCCAGCCCTGGGACCTGCAGCTTCCCCAGGGAGCCCCTCTCTAAGGCCTGAGTCCTGGGAAGACTCCTCCCCTCTGCACCGGGGTCACCGCTTAGACAGGGACTCAGGTGACAGGGGGTCCTGCTCAGGAGCAGCCGACCTCCTGCTGCAGCCCAGTGCAGGCTGTGTGCCAGCTCCTTCCAGCGGACAGAACCTCGGGGAAGGCGGCGCGATTCCCTCCGCAGCCAGGAGGGACGGCAAGTCTCAGCAGGGGCAGGACTCCGATCGCTGGGGACTGTGGCGCGAGGGCCTTACCTTGCTGAAGGCCAGGCAGCCCTGGTCCTGGTCCTTCATCTCGAAGTCGTACAGGGCTTTGCCCTGGGGCGGGGCGGGCGGCAGCGGCCGCAGGCACTGCACGTGGCTGGCGGGCAGGAAGCCCTGGGCGCCCCGCAGCTCCCCGTGAAACCAGTGCTCATCCACCCGGCGCCTCAGGAGGATGACGTCGCCCTTGTTGAACTTGAGGTCGCCGGGCTCCTTCCCCTCGTAGCTGTAGAGGGCTTTGCCGCAGGGAGGCTGGGAAGGACTCTGAAAGCAAAACACAGCAGGTCACTCACTCGGGCCCCAGTGGGGCTCCCGCGTCCTGGGGCACCTGCAGGACGCCCTCAAGGGGAAGGATTTCAAAGGAACGAACCCCCTCACAGGAACAGGTAAGCCCATTGCCCTGGATGGAGCAGGGGGACCCATGATGGAGACCACCTCTCAAATCAGGCATGCGATGGGCCAGGCACTGTGGGAGGCCTCGGCTTGCCCAGCCCACTCTGCGCTGCATTCACAGGTGAGGGCCCCAGCAGGAGGGAGCAGGTAACGGCCTGAAGCCCCACACCTGTGAAGGTCGGCGGCAACCCCCCCCCACTAGGTCTCCCCTCCAGATGCTGTCATCCACTACTCTCTGCCGAACTGGTCTCCACAGGGGCTATTTCTACCTGTCGGATTTCCAACCATGATCTCCCCACAAAATGTGCCTTACTTTACCTCTGAGACTTCACAGCAGCTCAGAACACGCTGACGATGCCCCGAGGACAGCCCAGCGTGGGAGGCGGAGGCCACCCCCGGACCCTGGTCCTCCATACGTCCTCCATGCTAACAAGGGGTCCCCAGCTGTCACAGACCCCTCCACCATGACTCATTGTGCTGTGATGCCTCCAGCGGCCTGGGCCAGGAGCACAATTTTTTTTTTTTTTTTTAATCCTCACCCGAGGACATTTTTCGATATTTTGTTCAGATAGAGTGAGAGGGAGAGAGAAAGAGAGAAACATCGACGTGAGAGAGACACATCGAGTGGTTGCCACCCACACGACCCAACCAGGGCTGGGGACAAACTGCAATCAAGGTACGTGCCCTTAGCGGGAACCGAACCCTGGTCTCTCCGGACCGCAGGCCAACGCTCTAACCGCTGAGCCAAACCGGCCAGGGCCAGGAGCACAATTTGAGGAGCATAAGACAGTGTCCTGTCAACATCATGGGCTGTCCCTGTCCCCCCGCCAGGGGTTAGCTGACCCTCCCAAAAGCGGTTTGCCATCTCTGGTCAGACAGTGAGTAGCTCTGCCACCCGAACAGGACTCTTGGCGGCCTGATGCTCGGCAGCTGCCCTGAGACTTGTCCTCAGCACTTCCTGGGCGCCTGTAACTCCGCTGGACCTCCTTCATAAAGACCAGCGGCCACCTGCTTTCCCTCCTTCACCGGTGCCAACACCCACTCAACTAAACAAGCTTCGCCAAAGCTAGTTCTGTGCCGGAGAAAAATCAAACAAAAGCGTCACTATTTCCCCCGCGTCAACACCCAACCATTTCCCTCCCAAAGCTGCACCCTCCTCCAGGGTTTCTTCAGTCTGACTCAGCACGACGGCCTGAGAACGGGGTACACGGGAAAGCGCTGTGAGGACTGAGCAGGGTGTCGGCAGCCCGGCCTCCCTGCCCGCTTCGGCGATGCCAGCGACAGGAGCTGAGCGAACAAGCCGCCGCCGCCAGCCAGCGAGCGGAGCCCACGAGGACGGCAGGGCTCCGCGAGGAGGGGGTTTGCCCGCAGCGCCCGGGCTGCTCCGCAGCTGGCACCACGGCCCGCGGCCGGCCTCAGTGCAGACAGCTGCACAAGGTGGAGCTGCAGTCCAGGGGCTGCCAGCGAGCAGAAAGGAGGAGGTGGGGGCTGCACACAAGAGCCAGTCAGCCCCCGCCCAGGGGTGCGACATCAGGGACGGCTCTGTCCCCCAGGGGACACTTGGCAATGTCTGAAGACATTTTTGGTGGTCACAACGGGCAAACAGGCACTATTGGCAGCTAGTGTGTGGAGACCAGGGAGGCTCCTGTGAAGAGGATGCCCCGCCCGGAACTGCCCCGCCCAGAACTGCCCCGCCCAGAACTGCCCCGCCCAGAACTGCCCCGCCCAGAACTGCCCCGCCCAGAACTGCCCCGCCCAGAACTGCCCCGCCCAGAACGGCAGGCGGAGGCTCCTGCAGCCAGGAGGTTGAAGTTACGACAGAGTATCTTTTTTGTTCTATTTGAACTCCGTGCATCACAACTTTAACAAGTAAACACATCTCCTTCGGTGCTGGCAGTATCTTCACTAGTGGCCACAGGAGAAGCCGACACACCCACTGAGGTCAGAAGAACTGACTGTTCATCTCAAAAACGGGCCTCGACTAGGAGCGCAAAGGAAAGGTCCCTTTGTCACAGACAGACGTCATGTCTTCTGGCCCCAGGCGACGAGGGCCATGCTCCAAAGCAGATTGTGCGAGCCTTCGACCCGGAAGCTGTTCGGTCCTTCTGTCACGATGGACAAGGGCAAGCAGGAACGGCCGGTGCGCGCCTCGTTCCGACGCTCTGCTCCCTCCGCACCTTCGTGCATTTTAACACCGGCACCGTCCTCACCCTTGTGGAGGGCACACTGCACTGCCACTCCGGCCTGCCCGCTGCCAGCAACCAGCTGCACGGACACAGGATGCCTGCAGCTACCACAGACACGCGCGTTGTAGGGTCCTGGCCCGACCTGCCAAGTGAGGCTGCGAAGGACGTGGGTGTAGGACCCGGCTTTGCGGCCAGCCTGTGCTCTCGAGTAGCATGTCCTCCCGGTTGCCAGGAGGCACACACTTCTGATGTCTGGGGGACCCCATCTTTCACTGATTCTCTAGGGTGGGTGTGGCTGCACCTGTCTGAGCACTGTGGCCGCCGCCCCCCTGGCCGGCAGGACCACACTCACCGTCCCTGTCTGTCTGCTCACACTGTGACTCCACATTCTCTGTCCTTCCAACTGCTCTTCTGAGCAGTGGGCTGGGAACCCTGTAAAAAGAAAGACACCTACGAAGAAGGGCTCCCGGTGGTTACCTGCACTCACATTTTAAAAAGCAGAGCTCAGCCCTGGCCGGTTTGGCTCAGCGGTTAGAGCGTCCGCCCGCAGACCAGAGAGACCGGGGTTCGGTTCCTGCTAAGGGCACGTACCTGGGTTGCAGTTTGTGCCCCGCCTGGTTGGGGTCATGTGGGTAGCAGCCAGTCGATGTGTCTCTCTCACATTGATGTTTTTCTCTCTCTCTCTTTCTCCCTCTCTCCCTCCTGCTCTACCTGAAGATAAATGCAAAACAAATGTCCTCGGGTGAGGGTAAAAAAATAAAAAAAATAAAATACAAAGCAGAGCCCACAGCCACTTCCGCACAGGGGCCTGTCACACAAACTGCCTTTCCCAGAGGAGCCCGCCCTGAACCCCCCGCCTGCACTGGGTCCCTGGCCCTGAGCCCACCTTAGAGAGAGTCCCTGGGGTCCTGTCAATCAGGACTGAGGCTCTCCCCAGCCAACTGGAGCTGCACAGCTCCAGCCAATCACAGTGGCTCTATTCTGACCAATCAGGACAGTGCCTTTTGGACCCATCATACTGAGAGGATTTGGAGTCATCCTTTGCATGAGGATGGATCTATGAGAGACCAGGGGCAGGCATCCTTGTCTATGTAAGTCAGCTCCCCTCTGGCTGGGGGAGCACAGGTTCCCTTTCTAGGGAAGACAGTCTCCCTGGGGGAGCTGGAACCCCAAAGCTGCCCCCGCTGAGCTCTCCCCGAGAGGTTCCAGGCCGCTGAGCGAGCAGAGCCCTCTCACCTAGAGGGTCCGGCCACAGGGCTGCCCTACAGCCTCCTGTTCTCCAGCTGAGCTGTGTCACAGTGCACTGACCCGCTGCCTCCTCACTGCGCCTGCACTGGGGTCCCTGTGGCACTGACCCGCTGCCTCCTCACTGCGCCTGCACTGGGGTCCCAATGGCACTGACCCGCTGCCTCCTCACTGCGCCTGCACTGGGGTCCCTGTGGCACTGACCCGCTGCCTCCTCACTGCGCCTGCACTGGGGTCCCTGTGGCACTGACCCGCTGCCTCCTCACTGCGCTTGCACTGGGGTCCCTGTGGCACTGACCCGCTGCCTCCTCACTGCGCCTGCACTGGGGTCCCTGTGGCACTGACCCGCTGCCTCCTCACTGCGCCTGCACTGGGGTCCCTGTGGCACTGACCCGCTGCCTCCTCACTGCGCCTGCACTGGGGTCCCTGTGGCACTGACCCGCTGCCTCCTCACTGCGCCTGCACTGGAGTCCCTGTGGCACTGACCCGCTGCCTCCTCACAGCGCCTGCACTGGGGTCCCTGTGGCACTGACCCGCTGCCTCCTCACTGCGCCTGCACTGGGGTCCCTGTGGCACTGACCCGCTGCCTCCTCACTGCGCCTGCACTGGGGTCCCTGTGGCACAGACCCGCTGCCTCCTCACTGCGCCTGCACTGGGGTCCCTGTGGCACTGACCCGCTGCCTCCTCACTGCGCCTGCACTGGGGTCCCTGTGGCACTGACCCGCTGCCTCCTCACTGCGCTTGCACTGGGGTCCCTGTGGCACTGACCCGCTGCCTCCCTCACTGCGCCTGCACTGGGGTCCCTGTGGCACTGATCCGCTTCCTTCCTCACTGCGCCTGCACTGGGGTCCCTGTGGCACTGATCCGCTTCCTTCCTCACTGCGCCCTGCACTGGGGTCCCTGTGGGCACTGGACTGGTGCCCACGACCTGGCTTACAGGGCGCGTGTCAGTCTGATGCCACGTCTCAATGAGTCACTCTCTGTCCCGCAGGCCCGACCCCGATTTCCTCATCCTGGCTCCCACCACTGAGCAAGCCTTTGTTTTCCCTGAGCCCCCTTTTCCCTCAGTTTCGGTGTCACCCTCAAATCCTTGGATTCCACTTTAAGTTCCCACCAAGAGCCCCTTCCTGCACAGGCTTCCACGCCCACCGAGCACGTGGTTCTGAACAGTCCCCGCCTTTCACCCCCTCCGCCCGCTCTCCCTCCCAAACCCCGCAGCACCCCAGGCTGTGCCCTGCTCCCCGGGAGCCTTCTGCCCCCCCATCAGACCCGCCCCACCACGGCCCAGAGCAGGCTGTGTCTGCCTCCAACCCTGGGCGAGGCGAGTTCCTGGCACAGGGCTGGCGCCCCACATGTGCTCGTGCCCTCAGCGTGCTGGGGGTTCCCGAGACGGGTGGGGCGGAGCAGCGGGAAGCCTGGAAGTGGCAGACCTGGCCGGCA